AATGGGCCGAGGCATTTCAAGTATTCTTGAACTGTAAATCACACAATTCCATGGATGCCTTTTTCAAAAAAGTAACAACTTGAGCCATTGGTTATGTTCTTACTCAACTTGAGCCATTTGGTTATTTTTTTCACGCAACATCTCTTTCGAATGTTACAATTGTTGAGATTAATTTGTCGACCCATATAAGAACATCTCTTTCGATTGTTACAATTGTTGATATTAATCTGTAGACACATATAATGATTTAACGCAGTATCGGTATCAGTATCAGAACGGGTAAAGATATTAAGTTTAATTGATAGTTAAGTTATTATGATTAACAAGGCTCTTAAAAAGGATATTGTTAAAATTGTGAAGAATCAAACCACATGGAATGCAAATGGTACTGTTCATCTCTTTTGAGAAGAAAATAATTATTATATAGAATAAAGATCCCTTCATTAAAATATATTTTTTTATCTCAAGAAAAATATTGTTCATCAAAAAAATTATTTTTTTTGACTTAAAATCCCTTTATTAAATATGCCCTTCCTACCACTTTTTTAATGAATTTTGCTGTTTTCTAGAATTTTTAATTTCTTTTCTATTTTATTTTTTTTGATTCACTAGTCGTGCCATGTGAGCCACTTATATTACGTCGAACGGACTTATCTAAAAATTTAAGCAATTGAATACAAAACATGTCCTATATATAATAGATCGAACCTTGGAAGTAGACGTGTTTTAATAAAAAATAATTAATCAACACGCCTCTCTTGATGAGAAAACTATCTCGTCCCTAACTATTTAAACGTATCACGTACTAGTACCATACATATATACAACTAAATGTATATATAAAACATATATGTAGGGTTGGTTGGCACGTTCTATATATCATCATTCGAACCTTGAACTAGACATGTTTCCGATAAACAATAATTATCCAATACACCTATCTCTCGACAAAAAAGTCTATCAAATCTCTAATTATTTAAACTTGCCACGTACCGATACCCCACAATACATATACATGTAAATGTCTATATAAAATGTATAAGTGGGGTTGGTTGGCACATTCTATATCTCATCGATCGGACCTTAGACTAGACACGTTTCTGATAAAAAAAAAAAAGTTAACCAATACGTCTATCTCTCGACAAAAAGTCTATCAAGACTCTAACTACTATCAAGACTCTTAACTATTTAAACTTACTACATACCCCCCCACCCCCACCCCCCCCAACAATACATATATACAAGTAAATTTATATATAAAACATTATAGGTGGTATTGGGGGTGGGGGTAGGAGAGATTTGTACCATAAGTAAGTTTATAGTGGAAAGCAGCATCTCCAATAGCTAGAGGAGCCCACAGACAGCGAAGCGAAGACATAAAACAAACTAGGAAAAATGATGTTTTGTAAGATAAACAAGCAACTACGGTATGTACTGCACACACACATTTATATACATAATTCTTTTTCATAATTTACTAATATACCCTTTCATAAACCTTGCTCCTATTTGATTTAGCTAAAAAAAATTGATGAAAATCTCAGATCAAAGTCAATAATTAATTTTCATTAAAAATATGATTTTTATCTTGACCAAACGAGGGTTGAGTATCTCAATAAACTTGAATTGCCAAAATTGCCCCTCGCTTATTAATATACCTAATGAATAATTAAAATTTATGATAAAATGGTAAGAATATGATTTCATTACATGAATTTTAAACTAAATTTTTTATTAATAATTTTTTTATTTCGTTTGATACTTTTCATTCTACTTGTATAGTTATTGCTTATTTATGCATTTAATTATTTGGGTCCACTGCACTGCATTATTTGTGGGTCGGGCCATTATTTGGGTAGTTTCTGTTTTATTATTTAATTTTGTCACCGTAGATTAGGTTATTTGAAATTTCGATCATACGCAAACCAGGTCAAATAATCAAAACTATCATAGGGATAAAATATTAATTATAACTTGAAAATACAAAAAATTACGACTTTAGAAGGACGTAGAATTTAACTAGTCGAACAAATTGAGAGTTAAAAAGAGAGAAATCGAACTCTGAGCGTCATTTATTTTCCACGTACTTATTTTCAAGCTCCATATTTCTAAGGTAATAAGATGAAAAATCGAATACTGAATGGAGAAATTGACATAACAAAGATGAGCTTCATTGTGAATTATTTTTTATTATTAAGAAAAATTTAATTATATTTACTATATTTCATTTTTCCCGAAGAAAAAGTAGTATGTGAATTTATTTATTTTCTGAATCATTTATTCATTTTTTTTGCAAATAAATGGTGAATATGTACTCCAATTTTAATTAATACAATATGGGAAATTTTATTTATGAATTTATTCGATATGAATTTGTTTCTTAACACCACATGATTGGCATTGACTTTCGAGGAATCTTGACGTATGACTTTTAATCTAATTCATCCCTAATTAAGATCATGGGTTAGATCGACATCTTAACTTGACAACTATGAAAATATACGAATTTTTTTTTTTTTTGAGACAAATTCACATAGATAATTTCAATAACGATGTAAAATTGTCTCTTATCACCATACAATTTGATGTTAATGCTCGAGGGGGTCTCGAAGGTATTTTTTTTACCTCATTTAATCTCCGTAATTAAGATGAGAGTTGCTTGTTCATGACAAATTCGAGATTAGTACCTTATCGCTATGAAAATTTATGAGAAATTATATTTCAAGACAAATTCACACCGTTAATACCAATGACAATGTAAATTAATCTCTTATCACCACATAATTTGGTGTCAATGCTCGAGGAGTCTTGACGGTATGACTTTTAACATCATTTAATTTTCATAATTAAAATGAGAGATGCTTTTAAAGTCACGACAAGTTGGAGATTAGCACCTTATCTTGACGGCCATAAGAGTCTATGAAAAATTATGATTTGAGACCAATTCACACAGTTAATGCTAATAACGATATAAACATGTCTATTATCATCATTGCACAATTTGATGATAATGTTCGAGGAGTCTCGATGGTATGATGTATAATCTTATTTATTTCCGTAATTTAGATTAAAGGCATTTTTCAACGCAATGACAAATTTGATATTAGCAACTTATCTTGACAACTATGAAAATACATTAAAAATCATAATTTGAGACAAATTCACATGGTTAAGGATGTTAATGTTCGAAGAGTATCGACGTTTTGACTTTTAATCTCCTTTATTTTCGTAATTAAGATGAGAGGTGTTTGTTAACGTGATGACAATTCGAAATTAGTACATAATCTCGACAACTAATAAAATTTCGAAGAAAATCACGATCCGCGTAAGAACATGTAAAATAATTTATACAAATTAAGATAGTAATCTAGTAGTGGCATTTAATTAGTCACATGCCAGTTCTTATTTGAACCAAATTAAAAGATAGAATATTGTAAATATGTGGGGAGTAAATTGATGGTCCAAAAACAAACATAACAAAATAAAATTAGACTCTTATCTACTCAAACCTTTAAATCGAGTCGAATACTCGACTCGACTCTTGATAGAGTCGATGCAAAATATGTACGTGTTTTCACACACAAGTCTACACGCCATAATATATTTATGCAATAAATCCAAAAAAACTACTGGCAATAGCTTGAATTGTATAACAAAAATGCTTAATGTACAGTCAAAATTGTACAGCAATTTTGACAGTTCTCTCCCATGGGTGGGGCCTGCGATTATTTTAATCGTGGATTCCACCAAATGTATGTGAGAGGGTTGTCAAAATTGATGTAACTCTAGCACTGTTCATTGTATAAATATTTTTAAAAAATTTAATGGTGAATGATGCATAAAATAGATCCTGGCCGTTGAATTTCATTCCATTTATTAGGGTAGGTGTAGGTTTGCAACCCAACTGAAATTGGCCAATATTTACTTCTATTCATAAATGACTTTGTGTTAATTCAAATATGGATCCCACTCTAAAAATGACCCCTTAATTTTTTAATGCTCTAAACTTTTTTCATAGATTCAAATATGTCATATTGCAATGGTCCCGTCACGCTCCAACCGATCGACGTGGTGACATAACCACCATATTCTTATATAATCCTACGAAATAATGAAATAAAGCTGAAATATACTTAGCCAATTTATCAATAAAAGATCGGGACTCATTCCGCCCCCGTTTGAGCCCCATTAAATTAAATTTCATTACATTAATTTTTTTTCTCTTTTCATTTCAACCACATATTTATCAAATAAAATAATATTACACACAAATTTAAAACTTTTCAACCACACATTCCCCTATGAATCATTATTCTAAAAATTTTCAACCTAAAAAAATGGTGGCCAAAACGGGGGCTCAGTTGACTTGACCTTTCATACATCTTAGGTCAATGTTCAAGCCGGTTTTCTATTAAATCAAGGGTATTTTGGACAAAAAGATAATGCAATACAAGATATTGATAAAAAAATTAAGCATGATTGGTATCCAGAGATACATGTGAGGGGCAATACAGTCTTTTCTTATACAGCCCACAAGCCAAAATAAGCAAAGCTGACCTATGTGGGCCGGCTTTTAACCACATTTAGACAAGAAACCTTCTTATTATCCTCATCGTCTCCATATGCAGCTGTTTCTTATCAAATTTCATTTTTTCATCTCTCTATACATACACCTATACATACAAAGATTTATACGCTTTTTTTATTTTCATTTATATATGTGTGTAAAAATGGTGTATGTATAATTTTTATAGTTACAGATGTTCTTCTGAACTTTTTCTTGATTTAAGAAAAAAAAATGCTGAAGATTCCTCAGAAAAAAAGGGTTTTCTTTTTAAATATTTAAGAGTGTGAGATTGACAGGCAGATCCCACCGAAATAAATTATTAATTCACCACATCCCATCGTCATAAAATCCACAGAATTCACCATCTTCGGATATATTTTTTATTTTTCATCTTGGAGGAGGGGTGGAAAGGGACACCTCTGTACTAGAGATGATGTTGGGTGTTTCAGGGATCATAAACAGCTCAGGCGAAGGTGCTGGAGCCCCACCAGAAGGTCACGAAAGTGGCGGAGCAAGCGGTGGAAGTAGTGACGTTGGCGGCGGTGCCACCTCGATTCCTGGTGGGTTCAGTGAAGAAGACAAGGCCGCGGGTTCAAGAATGGAGGAGAGTGAGAGGAGTGTCGGTGGCAACCGGTGGCCAAGGCAAGAAACGATGGCTCTGATTAAAATTAGGTCAGATATGGCTGTTGCTTTTCGAGATTCAAGTCTCAAAGGTCCATTATGGGAAGATGTTTCCAGGTAAATATATATTTTATGAATTGAATCGAATTGAATTTTCATTGTTTTCAGCACAAGCACGCACTCACACACAGCTGTCATAGATTTCTTTTACAGTCATACTTCTTGAATTCGCTGTAAAAAGTACTTATTTATCATATTTCCATTGAATTATTCCTTTTTGATTAAAGGGTCATTATCTATCAGTTCATTTCACAACAATTCAGCAGCTTCTGTGGAATTTAATTCCGGGTTTTTGCTTCTTTAACTTTTTTCCAGAAATAGAATAATTTGAGCTGTTTTTACAGTATAATTCATCTGAATCTAGATTTGGATTTTTCAGCCGATTTAAATTATTTTCTTGTTTTATCTCCTTGTTATTGTTGTTTGGATTAGTGAAGTTAATTCTCATTGTTTATTTTATGTGTTTAAGTATTAGTATTAGACATTGTTTTACTGGAGAATTCGAGATATGAACAAATCATGTTTCATCAGAAAAATGGCGGAGCTTGGATTTGAACGAACCGCCAAGAAATGCAAAGAAAAATTCGAGAACTTGTACAAGTATCACAAGAGAACAAAAGAAGGCCGCGCTGCGAAACAAGACGGCAAGACTTATCGGTTTTTCGATCAATTAGAGGCTTTGGAAAACAGTACTCCACAACCTGTATTGGCGCGGCCTCAGCCTCTGAGTATGGTGGCGCCGCCACCAATGCTACCAGTTTCAATATCAGGTCCAAATGCTGTAATTGTGGCACAAAATGCTGCTGCCGCTGCGCAAGGTGCAAATAATTCTACTTCTTCTTTATTTCAGCAATTCCAACCACCACAACTGCAGCAAGCACAGCCACCACCAACAATGAACACTACTTCTACTACTACTCTGTATCCTTCTCAAAGCCGTAGTTTTCAGCCCTCTAATGTGATATTCTCAAATTCTTCTTCTTCAACTTCGTCGGATGAGGATATACAAAGGCGACGCGGGAGGAAGAGAAAATGGAAGGATTTCTTCGAGAGACTGATGAAGGATGTTATCGACAAGCAAGAGGAACTTCAGAAGAAATTCTTGGAAACTTTGGATAAACGGGAGCGCGATCGAATGGCAAAGGAAGAGGCTTGGAGGGTTCAAGAAATGACACGATTGAATCGGGAGCACGATCTTTTAGTCCAAGAAAGATCAATTTCAGCAGCTAAAGATGCAGCAGTAATTCAATTCTTCCAGAAAATAACTGAGCAACAAAGCTTGCAAATTCCAATCAGTAATGCTAATACACCTCAGATGCCAATTTCAATGCCGATGCCAATGCAGGTACAAGCACCCGCAAATACCATGCCACCAGTTCAGCCTCCACAACCAGCAGCTCCACTACAACAGACACCAGCACCGGCTCCAGCACCAGAATCAGCACCGCCACCAGCTCCAACAGTTGAACATGTGATAGTGACGCCAACAAACGTTTTGGATACTCCAAGAACTGATAGCAACGGTGGTGAAAATTTCATTCCGATGAGTTCTTCGCGGTGGCCTAAAGCTGAAGTTCAAGCCTTGATTGATCTCCGAACAAGCCTTGATCTAAAGTACCAAGAAAATGGACCCAAAGGGCCTCTCTGGGAGGAGATATCAGCAGCCATGGCGAGGCTTGGATACAATCGAAATGCAAAAAGATGCAAAGAGAAATGGGAGAACATCAACAAGTACTTCAAGAAAGTTAAAGAAAGTAGCAAGAAGAGACCTGAGGATTCTAAGACATGCCCCTATTTCCACCAACTCGATGCTTTATACAGAGAAAGAGCCAAGACTGATTCTTCACACAATCCTGGATTCTTATTGAAGCTCGATCAAAATCCAATGGTACCGATTATGGCTCGGCCTGAACAGCAATATTGGCCTCTTCCCCAGGGCCAGCACCAAGATTCAGCACTGGACGATCACGGGTGCGAGAATGTCGATGAAAACGATGATCACAAAGATGATGACGAGGACGAGGACGACGAAGACGAAGATGAAGGTGCAAGTTACGAGATTGTCACAAACAAGCAGCAATCTTCAACAACAAACACAAACACAAACACAATTGAGTGAGCCTAGTGACAAAGATAGAGAGAGAGAGAGTTAGTGAGAGAGAGGGGGAGGAGCGGGTGGCTGAGTTGTTAAAATGAGGCAAGTGGGTGGAGCTCTTGGCGATGGGACAGAATTGCTGGAGGTGTCAGAGGGGCGGAGGGGATAAGTGGGGCAGAAAACCGGTGGGGGTGGCGGTGCAAATTTTGAAAAGACAAAGATAAAAGAGAAACACATGGGGTGCTGCAGGTGGGGATGGGGGTGGGGTGTAACTTGTAAGGGTATAGAGGTTAATTTTGTTGTAAGTTTATTTTTATAATTTATTTATTATTTTGGAAATAAATAAATTGAGGGCGGTGGGGGAAAAATAGAGAGTTTCAGTTCAAAGAACGAGGGAACAATGTTTGCTTTTCTTTTCCTTTTTATTTTTCGTGGGGTGTAATCGTCATGAATTATTAATTAATTTCATGTCATTTTTCAAATTTTCTTTATTTGATTTATCATTCTTACATCAAACAACCTTCATATTTAGCCTCTGGTAGAGTTTCAAATTAAATTTTAGTAGATTTTGATAGAAGTTGATGAAAAGTGTGGTTGAAAAGTTGTGGATCGCATAAAATGTATATTAAAATTAATTTTTAACTTTGACTTAAAATTTTAATTGAAACGAAACAAGGGCTTAATCGCTATAAAACGTTATGTTCCAACATCTTCAACAATTTTCATCAAGTGTAATGCTAAAGAAACAGGTCGGTGGCCGAGGTGGCGACACCTCGACCCTTGATTTGAATTGTGGGACATCCAAATCAACGCCCGGATAGAAGCCACATCAAGTCCCTGTTGTTGAGTCGGTCACCGACCCTGTGTGTATAGCAGAACTCTTCCATCAAACACTACCACGTTATCATGGCCCACGCATGACATTTTCCTTTCATCTCCCTTCAACTAAAAATATCACACAATTCATCACGTTCATCTCCAAAATTTGTTGGTCCAATTGCCTTTGTTTTCATTTACTTATTTATCCCCTCTTTAGGCTCCATTATCAAAAAAATACTTTTTTTTCTTTTTTATTTTCAATCACACATTTTCAATAAAATAATATTACACGTAAATCCAAAATTCTTTTACATTTTTTAACCATAAATTTTTTTAAAATATTACAATTCAAAAATACATTTTTTTTTCCAGATATAATTTTAATGGAGCCCAAACAAGAGTTTTATTCGTTCACTACTAGTTCAATTTCAATCCAACCAACCACCCGACATTTAACCATTTACTTTTCAAATCAATAGTCGAACTTATCTTTAAATAATGTTCAATAATGTATTTCGAGCCCGACTTAAGAAAAAAAGATATATTATTTTGAGGGTCTAAAATGATATACCCCACATTTGAGGTGGGCCCACAAAATTATCTTTGGAAAAGGAATAGAAAAATGTGCCGTGCATGGCATGGGCAGCCGTTACGTACAATCACACTCAAAACCCTAATAAAATTCTTATGATTGGAGAAAATTCCAACGTTACCTGTATTCGCCGTTATCATTAATTCGTTAAATTTGCCACTGTCCTTTTTCTGAATCCTTATCATTAACTAGCAGAGTGGTCAAAATATGCTGATTCTGCCTATTTTTCTTTTCTTTATGCTGTTATTGGAAACCTACACATCCGAAAAGGGGAAAATCGGGGGTTCACGGACCAACCATAGAACAGAACCCCGTTCAATGAGTGAAACACATTGACTATCATGAGGTCCCCTAACATACTCCCAGCCCCCACGGCCCTTCCGTCTCTATTCATGCCGGCTCAGCCTAGTTCCCTTCTTCTCTTTTGCTTTGTCCCCTTTGATGCCCTCTGTCTTTGCACGTCAATGCAGATGTAGCAGTTAATCTTTGGGGAGTGAAAGACAACCCAGAACTCCATCATTTGCCCTCCACCCAAAAATATACATGTTGATATGCATCTTGTAGTTTGTAGCTACTCTACTTTAGTTCGTATAAAAATTTCAAAAGACTCGAAGCAATTTTAGAATTCAAGAAATCAAGACTGCACAAATACCAAGCACGATGTGTCTTACAAGAATAAAACTATGTGTACACACAATGGTGTATACAATGGTTTACACCACTCTCACATGGAGGGAGGTCCACACATATTTTATTGTGTGCGGGCCCCCCTCCATGTGAGGGGGGTGTAAACTATTGTGTACACATAGCACAACCCGTCTTACAAATCTAATCAGACAACGACAGGAAAGACCTTGATGATGTGGAGACATTGGAGTGGTGCGACTGCAGATGGCCTATAAATAGATGGGCTCCACAAATATAGTTAGTTATACTTATATATACATTATTAATTTTTAAAAAATTAGAAGAGATTTTCTTTTTGTTAAGTATGTCAATTTTTATTTAGGGAAATTACAAAAAATCAGGTATTTAATTTTTCAAATTCAAAAACATTAATTCGTTAAATTTGCCACTGCCCTTTTTCTGAATCCTTATCATTAACTAGCAGAATGGTCAAAATATGCTGATTCTGCCTATTTTTCTTTTCTTTATGCTGTTATTGAAAACCTACACATCCGAAAAGGGGAAAATCGGGGTTCATGGACCAACCATAGAACAGAACCCCGTTCAATGAGTGACACATTGACTATTCATGCCGGCTCAGCCTAGTTCCCTTCTTCTCTTTTGTTTTGTCCCCTTTGATGCCCTCTGTCTTTGCACGTCAATGTGGATGTAGCAGTTAATCTTTGGGGAGTGAAAGACAACCCAGAACTCCATCATTTGCCCTCCACCCAAAAATATACATGTTGATATGCATCTTGTAGTTTGTAGCTACTCTACTTCAGTTCGTATAAAAATTTCTAAAGACTCGAAGCAATTTTAGAAATCAAGAAATCAAGACTGCGCAAATACCAATCACGATGTGTCTTACAAGAATTAAGCTATGTGTACACACAATTGTTTACACCACTCTCACATGGAGGGGGACCCGCACATATAAATTGTGTGCTGGCCCCCCTCCATGTGAGGGGGTGTAAACCACTGTGTACACATAGCACAACCCGTCTTACAAATCTAATATATATGCGGCCCTTCCTCCATGTGAGGGGGGTGTAAACCATTGTGTACACCATTGTGTACACATAGCACAACCCGTCTTACAAATTTAATCAGACAACGACAGGAAAGACCTTGATGATGTGGAGGCAGTGGAGTGGTGCAACCGCAGATGGCCTATAAATAGATGGGCTCCACAAATATAGTTAGTTATACTTATGTATACATTATTAATTTTTAAAAAATTAGAAGAGATTTTCTTTTTCTTAAGTATGTCAATTTTTATTTAATTCTCCTTTCACTTACCCACAACACAAAACCCAGCAATTCCATGGCTAACTGAACTAATTTTAAGTATTTTTTCCAGTAAAAATAGAAAATAGTAAAAACGTTGATCAGCCCCTGTTTGATTGAGATTAAAATTAATTTTTTAATAGATTTTGATAAAATTGTTGAAATATGTGGTTGGAAAGTTGTGAATCCCATAAAATGAGTAATTAGAATTAGTTGCTGACTTTGACTTTGATTAAAATATAAATTTTAATTTCTACCAAATAAGGGTCGAATATTTATCTAAAGATAAAAAACCGTACTCCCATACACGTCCTAACAGGCCTTCTTATGAATAGAATCCAAAAAATTTGCAACTGAAGAATTAGTTCTATGGATTTCGAATGTACTTGGGCTTGCCAATAAGCCTAAAGTCATGAAATCAATCGAGTTAGGGCCAAGTTATGGGCCTGTCACGCTATTGCAAATTATTTCTTTTGTTTTCACGATTGGAAAATATCTTTTATCATTATTATTATTTTTTGATTATTTTCTTTGCAAATGATTGCCTCCTTAGTGCACTCCAATAATTGATAAATTTCCACTAATCATATTTAGCGCACACCCCTAAATTCTAATGGTTTATGGGCTCTTTTCAACCTCTCCATTTTTGAGCAATGATTAAAGTTTCAACTCAATACACGCCTTCAAAAATGGAGAAAAAAAATTAGGAACCTATTTGACAACCAATTTTTTTTTTTTTTTTGGGTGGAAAATGGAGTTCTGAATAATGATTTTTAAAAGAATGTATGGTTAAAAAGTAGTGAAATTTTTTGAATTTACGTGTATAATATTTTATTCTGTGAATGTGTGGTTAAAAATAATTATGTAGGAAAAAAAATTTGAGAAAAATGGTTGTCAAACAAGGGCTTAATACTTTTAAATTTTTATATTACATATTGTTAGCCATTAACGGTCGGGTCGATATCCAAGACAAATATTGGCTAGCTATTGGAGGTAAGTTACAAGTGAGGTGGTGTCAGCGACCACGGTGATGGTGGAAATAAACTGTGAATGTGTGCAACGCAATGCTTAGCAAATGATGAAGATGACGATGGTGAAATGTGCGTAGTATAAAAATTGATTGTAAGATAAAAATAAAATAAAAACAATATTTGAGGATAAAAAAGGTTTAAAGTACGAAAATAGTGAACTTTTTAAGGGCATTAATGAATTCTTCTCATATTTCGATTACTCAAAGAAGTTCAATATTATAAAAGTCATAAATAATGCCAAAAAGAAAAATAAATTATTTAAACTTAATAAAAGTTTGATTTTGACAACAAATAATTATGTTAATAGTGTAGACACATTGATGTGGTAGGGTTGCTAATAGTGCAATACACCTTCTAGTGAAGTAACGGTTAATGCTATGTCCAAATCACACGTTTATTTTTGGAATTTGGGATGTCCAATTTGATCACTTTTTTAGGCCAATATGCCCTCCTCATTACAATTGAGATTCTTCAAATTTTATGTAAATAAAGAATCATAGTTTTGCATCCATTAAATTTATCTCAAAATTCTGTAATTTTTAAGAATACTAAGGGCATGGTCACAGTCTAGATTGGACACGTTTAGACATAAATTAACTTTATGGGATAAACTTCAAGTCCCAACAAGA